CGGGGGGAGCAGCCCCGGGGGGGGCAGATCCCTCGCCCTCCCAGGCGTGTGTGTGCCGTCCCGTCCCGTCCCGCAGCCTTGCCCCGGGGCCCAGCCCGGATCGTGCTCCTCAGGAAGGGTCAGAGCACGTATCGGAGAGGAGAAGGGATTTAACCCAGCCCAGGCTTTGAAAAGCTTGGGACTCGAGCAGCCAGCCCTGAACATCAGCCCTCCTCTGTTGTTTCTTGTTTAGCAAATAGTGATCTGCCATTAAAAGTAAAGATTTAAGATCCAGATCGTGGTGTTTGCATGTGCAGCGTGCTGTGGAGAAGGCCCTTTCTTAGCGCCTGGTTAATTTTGAGGCTTCCGTTGGCTTTTAGGACTTTTCCTGCCCTGATGGTGTAGGGGAAATTAATACGGCAGGTCTGCGGGGCCGTTTATCCAAGCTGAGTGGGGCCACGGGGCTGCGTTTGCGCTGCTTCATCCCGCCCTGCTGGCAGCAGGGAGTTCCCCCCGGAGCCTGCCCGTGCAGAAGGAAAGCACCCAGCTTCGTTTTGACTCAGCAGCAGTCTTTTGGCTTGCAGGGCAGTGGTGCCTTTGCCTCGGTACCAGGAACCCAGCAGCCCGATTTGTTGTGGTGTTGCAGCGCAATGAGTAGGCGGGAGGGGCTGTGTCCCGCTGAGGATCTGGGGCAGAGCGAGCAGAGTTCCTCCTGGGTGAGCTGGGATGTTGCTAGATCTGTTCTGCCCAGGATTTTGAAATAGTATGAGGCAATAAGAAAAAGGGGTTTTCATGGTGTGAGCTCCAGCTGTTCCTGCTTCCCGGGGTGATGGCGAACCCGAGATCCTACCCAGGGCAAGGATCTGAACCTCTTTCCCCCTCTGCAGAGCACCTTGAGTGATGCCCAAGAAGTTCCAAGGTGAAAATACCAAGTCGGCTGCTGCCCGCGCGAGGAAAGCTGAGGCAAAGGCAGCAGCCGATGCCAAACGTCAGCAGGAGCTGGAAGATGCCTACTGGAAGGATGAAGACAAACACGTGATGAGGAAGGAACAAAGGAAGGTGAATGGCTGGTCAGGTAGAAGGGTGTCTTCTGGCCAGTCCTTTGCTAAGGCCGTGAAATCCAGGCTTGCTCAGACAGGGTTGCTTCTCCTCCTCTGTCCCCCGGCCGTAGCTGTCTCTCCACACGTTGTCCTGCGCTTAGTTTTAGGCAGAAGAGCTGGAACTAGTGGCTTCTCTGGGAGCTAAAAGAAGCCGAGTGTGGGAGTAAGTGTAAGCTTTGATGTGTAATTCAGAAATCTGGTGGATCTTAGAGCTGGCTTCCCCAGGGAGGCAGTAAAAGCTTAATTGTTGGAGTCATTTAAAACTGAATTAAGATCAGGAACTGTGCTGCAGGGCTTGACTTTTGAGCAAGTGGTTCTTTAGCTTTTTTCTTCCTTTTCCTTTCTTAATTTTTCTTTGATTTTTGTAGAAGGAAAAAGAAATCAGCAGGGTTAAGGGTTGCAAAGCTTTTTTTTTTTTTTTTTCCTCCCCAGCTTGGTGTGCCACACCTCAGGACGTGTGTGTCTCAAAGAATTCTCTCTGTTTTGCTCTCGCTCTGCCCTGGGCGCCCGTTTGCCTCGGTGTTCAATAAACAGAGCGCTTTAGTGCTCATTTCTGGGTTATTTGGTTTTAAACATTATTCTGCGTCCGCGTTAGGCAACTCTACCTTCTGCTTTTGTGGATTTTTCTAGAAACAATTGTTGGCGATAGCTTAGCTGCCTCTTCCAAAATGATTTCTTTACCCTTGTGCTAACCAGCCAGGGCTTCTGTTGGTGACATAAATGGGATATATGGGGTTACTGGGATTGTGCTGCTTGGTGAATTCAGTGCTTACTGAACTTTGTGTGTTGCTACTCGAGCACACAGGCCGGGCAGGCAGGACGGAAGCCAGCGCGTCCCCGTGACCTTGATAGCTGCGTACGTCTGCGTGAGTTCACCCCTAATGCGTGTCTTGACGTTTGGAATTAGGATTCCTGTGCGCTGTTCCCCAGTGCAATCCCGTAATGCTGCCTAATTGCTTCCTGGAACAAGGACTTATTATTGCTCTACTTAAGACTTGGCCACCGGTGACCTATTTGACTGGGCTTCCAAAACAGCCTCCTGCAGACCAGGGGCGTGGGAGTCTGGAGAGGGGAGCTGTGTTGTGAGATGGAAATGCGAACTGGAAAACCAGGGTCCATCCCAGAGCCTCAGACTGGGTTTCAAAGAAACCAGCGAGGCGGTTTCCGCTCCGCACCTCAGCCGTCCCCTCTCCCTGCATCAGCGTAGCCATGGTCTCTAGGTCTGAATTTCACCGGAACGCTGCGGTTTAGCGCGTTCGCTTGCCCCAAGCCCCCCTGGGGACCTTGCAGCTCGCAGCAGCCAAAGCCTCCGCTCAGCTGGGGAGCTGTCCTGCCAGAAGGACTCCCAGTCTGACCATACCTGCGCAGGGCTCATCCTGCTGCCGGAGCCTCACGCAGGCGCTGCCGCAACCTGAGCAAAGGCTGGGGCTTTGTGTAGGTGAGAAGTGCTCAACAGACAGGAATGAGCGGGTTGCTGGGGGAAATCAATCAGCGAAACCTTCCTCAGCTGCGTCTCCAGTGCCGTCAGGCTGGAGTATCCCCACGGAGAACAGAAGAGGCTGCCTGTGCCCCGTCGCATCCCGGCAGGGAAGCGATGTGTGACTCAGATTGTAAACGACTTTCCATCCTCATCCTAGAGAGGACAGAAACCAAACCGTTCACAGGAGTCAAACTTCCCTGGAGAAGGAGCTGTTCCGCGGGTGGTGCCGGCATGGAAATAGCGCTGCCGGCCACGGCCATATGCTGCGGGAGGGACTCGCGTTGCTCTCAGCTACAGCACCCGGAGGAGGGGATGGCGGTGTGCGTAGGAGGATGCTCTCAGCACCTTGCAGTCAGCGCCGAGCAGCTCTTACAGCTCTTCCCCAGCTCTCCGGGCGATGGCAGTAACACATTAACGGCACCGCAGCACAGCCGTGCAGAATTCCTGTGCTGCCAGCAGGCAGGAGTGGCTGAAATCCTTTGGGACGTGCTGAGACCAAAACCTGCGCACCCCTTTTAATCCCTTTCCCCCCCTAGGTGACCACCGGAGCCTCGGTGAAACAAGGGAGAGCGCAGAGCTCTGTTTCTCTTCTGGGGTTTGGTGGCTCTGCCTGGCCAGCTGGTGGCCTTGCTGACGGAGCAGCGATGCACGTCAGCGTTAGCACTTGGGCATAGGGAAGCTTCATGTTCACAATGCAGTGCCTGCTGTCGTGAGATTCACTGTCGCCAGATGACTGTCCTGTTGTTTGATTTTACTGCGTTTTGGGGTTTCTTTAAATGCCAGCCCTCCCTGCTCTGAGAGCAACCCTGGGAGCTGATCTCTGCTAACGGAGGATGATGCTTGTTTGGTGGCTCTGTGATGCATAAAGGAACATCTGAGCTCATATCGCCAGCCTGCGATGTGTGTGTTCCTCCTCTGGCACTTCAGCGCAAGTCGCGGCTTTTTACCTTCCCTGGAGAGCTCTGGGTGGAAAGCACAAAATCTGCCTCCTTCTTGCTGGAAGACTCAGAGTTTTACCTGGGTAACTGCTTGTTTTTTAATATTCGGGTGTCTTCATCCTTTCCATCCCTTTGCACGCTTCCTGTGCAAGGTTAGGCTGCAGCTCGGGGGACGGCGCTCCTCGTCAGCCTGGTCACAGCGTGGTTTGCTCTGTGCAATTAGCTAAAGTGCATCTGGTGGTGGAACAGCCACGGACGCGTGTGTGTCCTGGGTGAAGCTGCGGGCAGGCTTGGAAGGGTGGCAAACCCTTCCTTTGCCTGGAGCATTACGGGAAGAAAGGACCGGTGGAATATCTGCCAAGGGCAGAGGTCTCACAGCGGGAGTCAGACCTTCTTCTCTCTGGCAACCTTGGGTTTAGCTGCTTTGTGCCCTGTGGGTACACGCAGGAAGATCTCGCTGGCTGGGACTGTGGCTGGAGCCGAGGTGTCCACTGGAAGGACGCAGCCGAATTCCCAGTCTCCTTCCCAAACTCCTGCCGGGGCTGCCTGGCTGAGGGAGGACAAGCCCTTCTCCCCATTCAGGCTGTATTTTGCCTGGGCTCTGTTGGCTGAGTGCCCATATGCCAGGAAAGCGGTTCCCCCTTGTTGTTCAGCAGCGACTCAAAGCCCCTTGGCACCTTCCTCTCTGCCCGGCGTGTCGTGGTGTCGGCAGCACCATCCCACGGAGGTCTCTCCCACAGCTTCACTTGGTGCCCTCGGTGGGAACGGCAAAGGGAGGGCGTGCGGATGATGTGGGAGCAAGGAGATGCTTTGTACTTGTGTACAAAGGGTCTGGGGAAAGATTCGAGTTAAACGCAGGGCGAGCGCTTGTTCTAGAAGAGCGCAGATAGTGCACAAGGGAGCAGTGACTCTTTTGGTGTGAGTTTTATGCCTTTCTCGTTCCCGTTAGCCTCGGTCACGGGGTGTGGGCTGGCAGGCTCGTGTACCGGCAGGTCCCAGCTGCAGTGGTGTTGCAGGCAGGCGAGCGGTGACTTTCTCTCCCCGCTCCTCTTGTGATTCAGTGCAGAATTACTCAGCTGCGAGCACCAGCTCTTATTCAGATAAAATGCAAGACAGGTCAAATGACTCTTCTTCCCTCTTTGGAGGACGTCTGCGCAGTACCAGGTACGCAATACGGAAATCTGATGGCCTGAATGAGAAATGCAGGAGACAGAGATGTAGTGGAGAGATACCTGATGACACCAGGCTGGGGTTCAGGCCCCAGAACCAACTCCCCCAGGCTCCAGTATCCCTTCGATGCTTGCCTTGACTGCCAGTGGGCAATGGAAAGGGCGTGTTTGATCTCGTCTCAAAGCTCCGGTGTACCTCAGATAGCCCAGCGAGCACTTAGACACGCTCCAGGTCGGTTACGCCCCTCTCGCTTTCCAACTGCATCATTTTTTTGCGTTGCTTTGCCCTTCTGCCTTGCAAGAAGTGGCGTGCTTCGCCAGGCTGGCGGCACGCTCTCCAGCCCTCCTCGGGGCCTCGTGCTAAGCGGTTGATGGGGAGCGCTGCCGCTTCCTTTGACCGCTTGCTCTCAAAGCCGCATGTGTGGGACCTTCTCCTTCTGTCTAGCAGGTGGGAAGCTGTTCTGAAAGCTAATGAATCGGTCCTTGCTCAGGCAGCTCTTTGCGAGGCTGGAAGCTCCCATTTTAACACACAAATCCTTGGGAATGGGAGTGTCCAGCTAAAGAAATCTCACGCCCTGCTCCTCCCCGTGCCCTGCGGAGTGCAGCAATGTAGAGGGAGAAAATTATTCATTTCTATTCTAGTTGTCTAATAGCTTTGCGGTACGTTTCACTTAGGCAAATCCAAGCCTCTCTTTCATCAGGACATTTAA